AATTCAATATGACTGCATGTGGGAGTTATCACGAGGACAAGTTACTACTGAGGGTAAATCTTTTCCCACATGTGTCCCGTGGCCTTCTCACTGATGTGGGTTCTCATCTCGGCTTGTAGTTCAGAGTTACAGCAGAATCTTTTCTGATGTTTTACGTGAACATCTGATGAGATCTTTGTGGATTTTCATGCAGCATGTTAGTTTATTGCTCTCACCAAATTTCTTTCTCAAAAAATTGCAGAACTATGGCTTCCCGTCTGTGTGGACTCTCTGGGACCTCCTGTTCCAGACTGGAGTTCCTTTCGGGTCATACAGGTGAGAAGTGTGAACTTTCTCTTCCTTACAGGCGTGTTGTTGTGGGAGTTCTTAAAAAAAAAGACAGAGAAATACATGATTAAAAACACAAATCTGGACAAATACATTTTAAATGAAATCTGGGAGCCCTGTTGTTCTGCACACAGTTTTGTTTGCAAAGCTCACAATAAAACCACTTTATGAGTAATCATAATTTTATGAACCCTTGCTAGCAATACTGTGGCTTTGGGTGATGCATGGGCTTAACTGCTAAGTGTCCAGATGTTCTTGCCAGCATCCATATATGCACAATACCTGTTCATTTGAACTTTGATGAGCCGGCATTTTTTTTAAAATCCATGACTGTAGAGCAGGGAGGTGTAATTGGAAGGTAGGTGGTTCGAACCCTGGCTGCTCTGGTCAAAGTATCCTAACCACCCCCCCTCCCCCCCTCCCCCCCAAAAAAAGCACAGAAAAAGTCCATTTACTATTACATAATCTCTTCAGCCTGTGTCCTGAGTCTGCAGCTGTGTGCCCAAAATACCTCACCTAGCAGGCGTGCAGGGGGCCTTCTAGCTGCTTCTTTTGATATGGATTAGTCCCAGCTCTACTTTGAGTCAGCATCCTGATCATACCCTCAGCTGCCCATAAAAACCGTGAACAAATAAACCCCATGTTTCCAAAACACAAAATAAAATAAAAAACGTGAACTCTTGATTTTATTTTGCATCTCATGAGCCAGTTGTAACAGAACACACAATGAATGAAGTGAGTGGAGAAAAGTTATTTTAACTAATTGGTTTCCACAGGGAAACCAGCGTGACACAGACGGATGATATGAGCTAGCTCTCCTGCTATGTTTCTTTCTTTGAAATCGCAAAGCTGTGATTCTAGAAGCTCACTGAATTCACAAAAGTTAAAGATTATTTGGAGACATCAAATCATAAACAGAAGGGGCTGTCTCCAAAAAGGTGAGACACAGTGGATGTGATTAGAAAGTGACAGATGTCTCCTCCCTCAGCAGCAGGAATGCCTCAGCAGGCCGACACATGTCCTGCTTTAGTCTCAGTGGATAACAAGCCTCCGACAGTCTGACAGAACAACAGCACTGCTGAGAGGAAATGAGAGGATACCGAGGCATTAAGTACACCTTATTCATCTTCTGCTACTTCTTTTGGGTGAGTCTCTCCCATTTTAAGCAATTTATTGTTTAAAAAAATGTAGCATCATACTTTCATTAGTGCGTGATAGTAACAAACCTGTTGCATAATAGTGACTAAATGCCTCAGTTGCACCATAACAGAGGAAGAAGATGAGCTACAAACAGCATTTTAATATTTAATATTAACTCATTTATCCTTCTGATTTTATTTAGATATGTTGGATTTAACAGTGAAGAAAAGCCAGTATCAGAGAAACATGCTCTCTCTCTCTGTTAGTACCCTT